TCCTACTCCTTTGCCCCTCTCTCATCTTTCTACCCCCTGCTGCATCCCTCTCCATCACTTTCTCTCTTACCCTCCTCCCCACATGTCTGTCTGTTCGAAACTAGAGCAACATCTTAATCGAGGCTCTGAGACGTGACGGGAATTCCTAAGCATCCCCAGCTCTGCAGTACAGATACACACACAAGCAGAAACCCACACGTTCTGCTTTGCAGCCAATTAACAGCTCGCAATCCAGCACCAAAGGAATAACTGCATGTTGATGAGCTGGAGCCTCCATGCACGTGTGTATATGTGTGTGTTGAGCTGGTGGCCGTCAGAAACACTTACACAGATAGAAGGATAGCTCTTTTATGTGTTCAAGGGAAAGAGGGAGATTATGGTGTATTAAAAGCCCTCTCCAAGCGGGACAACCTAAGAGAGGAACTAGGAAGTGCCTGAGAATCTCTTTTTGTGTGTATTTGTTTGATGCTATCCTGGCACATTCAGTTTATGATCTATGTGTGTGTGTGCGTGTGTTGGCGTGTACAAGCCGCATTAAGAGAACAATGCAGACGATTTACTTGGAGCTGAGCCCTGCTGTCTCCTCCTCATCCTCCTCCTCATCCGTCCTCTATTTTTGTTACCTTTCATTCTTCTCCTCCTCCTTCTCACTTCTATCCAGCCTCTACTTTGTGGAGTTCATCCAAAGGTGAATCCCTGGCACAGAAAAAAGTATACTGCACCCCCTTCCAGAAACTCACATATTCTCTTTGTGTGTCAAAAATATTGACATCAGCCTTGACACAATATCCCAGAGCAGCAAGGCACAGTGCTTGCCAGGTTTCATCATCCCTCCGTATGTTCTTCTAAGATAGAATATGTTAAAACGAAGACTGTGGGTTTGTAAACCTTAAGGTTTTCTGTTTTTTTTTTTTTTTTTTTCGCTCCACTTCTTTGCACAATCCTCCACATCTTTTCTTTTTATATTTATGTGGGTAGGTAAGAGCCTTTCATTCATCTTTTGATAACAAGGAGAAATTTAATCATTTAAAAAAATAGAGTATTTGTTGTATTTGTTGATAACAAGGAACAAGCATACATCTAGAATTTATATTGAGCATTAATTATGCTTTTTCAAGTGGTCTTTTTAATTATATACATTCATCCATCTAATATATGTATGTCCGAAATAATGATTCAAAAATACAAAATTTATGCGAAATTAATTGTGGAGCAATAGACTGTTTTCATTCTGCTTAAATTAATGCATGGCTGACAACTTGCTGGAAAATGCTGCACTTCCTAAAAAAAAAAAAAAAAAGCTGCACTTCCGAAAAATTCCAGCATGTAATCCTAATTTTGGGGAGTTTAAATGCTGCCATCTAGTGTTTTGTTGTTGTCATTACAACGTCCGTAATCACCAAAAAAATAAAAATAAATAGAAACAGTTAACAACTGTTAATTTTTAAGAACGACTAAAGAAAACATATACGGTAATAAAATTTTACCTTGGAAGACAATTTTAGTCGTCAATCAATATTTGAAGTTATCTCAATAAGAAAGTTTTTCTTTGGCTTTATCCCATTAGTTTAGGGGATTCTTTTTATTTTGTTACTTTTCATTTACTTAAAGTAGATTTATTCCTAAGTTTGATCAACCTAGTTTAAAAACAGTTAATTATATTTTTCCAGTTTTCCAGATATGATAGTTTGGTTATTCTTGCTGTTATACTTCTTCTGTAATGAATGCATTTTATGTTAGCACAGAACATTTTAAACATTGTTTATTATATGTGTGTTGCATAATAATGTTAGATTTTGCTTCGTAGTTTAATTTATTCTGAAATATGACCTTTTCACATTTAAACAGTATAATGTATTGGAACTGAATATGTATTTCATAGAAAGAAAAAATGAAATGATTGGTAAAAAAATACAAAGAAACTAATCACTCGTTAAAAATACTTTATTTTCTTTCCCTTTTTTCTGTCTCACGAACACAAAAGAGTGCAAGACACCAAATCCCCTGATTTAAAAAAAACAATAATAATGATCTATTGGCACATCAACATGTTTATCAGTCCTTGTTTGGAGGTTTGTTTTATAATCTGTTGTCTGTCTCTGCTTGGCTGACTTCTGCTCCATTGGCTTCAGGAAATGTCTGGTAATTGCAGCAGATGTTCACTAGGTGGGGCTCTATCACACAATTCTCTTTATTTTTCAACAATCACTTCCTTAATCATGTTTTAGTCATTGTTGTTCAGTTATAGCAATATTTTCTTCTCTCAGAAGACAAAATATTTTCAATAGCTAATTAGTATTGTTTGAGCTATGTTATGCACACAAAAAGTAGTTTAAGAAGTTTCTCAATGAAATAAAATCTGTATACCAGATTTCATGTCCTTTCACTCAATATTTCTGTGTGCTCAAATCTTTATGATTAAATTTGAAGGAATAATATGTGTGAATCTTAAGAAAAAAAACCTTAATTCCTGAAAATTTTTGTTCAAATTGTTTATAATATCATTGTTCATGATTAACTGATATTACTGAAATTATTTTTAATTTATTTTAGGGAAGTTTTTGGAAAGATTTTTCATATCATTCAATAACCATCTTTTTTAAGGGTCTATACTAGGTATATATTTTTTAAACTATTCTCATTGAATAAAAACTATGTCTCTTGGTTATTGCCATTGTTATATAGCAGGAAATGAAACATTACTCTTTGGGGAGTATTATTCTTATTGCATTAAAATCCTTTAATTAATTCAAATTTATTAAATTATCATTTCTTTTGTAATTGATGTATTCTTTCTTGGTAGGAAATATAAATACATTTTCCTGAGGGTTTTTTTCTGATGCCCGGTGCTGTGGTTTACACTATATTTATTGATATTCACAAAACTTTTCCTCATTTTCCCCCCACTAAAATGTCATGCTTATATTTATGCTCCTTATTTTCAAACACATGGCAATAACAATGCAAAGTATAAAGACTTTTTTCTTTATCTAAAGAAAGGTGTGATATGTTGCTACAGTTGACTCTAGTGCAGGCACAATCACAGAAAACAGAGGTGAATTTTTCAAAAATTATTTCCTTGTTAACAGGAGGTTTTATCGGCATCGTAAAGGCGCACCGGGGAGACTCAGACTGGAATGATTCTGGGGAAGAGATAAAGTTAGTAATGCAGCTATAGGAGGAGTTTTGGGTGATATAAGAAGGTTGTGCAGTTATTATGGTTCTCATCAGTGGGGCTTGTCAAGGGGGGGAGTAGAGGCATCCAAACAAAGTGGGAATCTGGTTGATCTGGAGCGAGCAGGTGGTGAATAACTTTTTTTCTCCTTACTGACCCAGAGGGAATGCTGATGGGTGGACAGGCAGGTGAGTTTTTTGAGAATGGATCCAGGAGGCAGTGAGGAGGAAGGACTTCGAGACAACATGACTGGAAGGAGAGGAAGTCAAGGAAGGTAAGTTTTCACCAGGCGTTTAGATAATCATTGGAGCTAGCAGGTAGGTTACCACAGTGTGGAATATAACCAACTGGCGTCTGTCCTAGGGAAACCAGTCCTCTAAATGCTGCCTCCTGATTGCAGTGAAGTGGCACTTGTTGGGAGCTCACTCTCCCAAAACACACCCTGGGGAGGAGAAAGAAAAAAACATACCCACAACCAGAGATGGCAAAAGTACTCACTTTCCGTACTTGAGTAAAAGTGCAGATTCTTGTGTTAAAAAATACTCTGGTAAAAGTGGAAGTACTGATTAAACTTCTTTACTCAAGTAAAAGTAACAAATTACAGGCTTGTAAATTTACTTAAAATATAAAAGTAAAAGTAGAAACCACTTTTTTCATGCCGTTGCCTACATTGTAATTGGATGTCTGCCAATAGGACTAGATCTCCGTTGTGTTCATTTTCAATCATCTCGTCGTCCATACTACTATGCTAACGCCACCGCCACCAAGCTGCAATGATTTGCCGCCAATGAATACCGCCGAATCTGTCGATTCATCTTGTAGTGGTGCGTCAAATGCAACGTAGATTCCCATCCAATTAGATTGAATTTGGTATTGATGACGTGAAAAATAATAACGGTAACTCCATTGAAATGATTCAAAACTAAAGTAACGAGCCAATTTTTTTAAATGTAAGGAGTAGAAAGAACAGATATTTGTGTACAAATGTAAGGAGTAGAAGTTAAAAGTCGCCATAAAAATAAGTAGTAAAGTAAAGTAAAAATATCAGAAAAATCTACTTGAGTACAGTAACGAAGTATGTGTACTTCGTTACTTCCCACCTCTACCCACAACTGAGGTCAAACAAGGTGTACCTAATCATATGAAGCCTTTTCTGAGTAGTTGATGCACCTTTGGCAGAAATTACAGCCTACAGTTTACATAAACGTGATCCTACACATTTGGGACACCTGGTTTGTGGAAATTTCCCCTCATGAATAGATGCAGATAATCTTATTACCGGTAACCATCAGTGTGGATGGGAAACGTGGGTGCACAGCCATTTTCAGATCTCTTATGAAATTCAATTCTTATGAAAGAGAAGGTTCCCTTCTCTACCCTTCCCTGGACTTTCAGTTTGAGAAAGTTTTGTGTCAGAGGACTGCAGCTAAAACCTTAACCTCAATGCTTTGTTTGCACTGATAAATAAAATATATGTGACTTTCCAGTTTTTTCCAGTCCCCTGAATCTACCACAATGGACTCCAATGAAGGTTTAGAAACATCTCTAGGATGCTCACCGAAATCCTGGATGCAAAAAAAACTAAATGCTGAGCTTCATAACAGTGCCTCTAAATTTCTTCACAAAAATATGGAGGTATTTTTTAAATGGTATCTTTATAAGGTGTCATGTGTGAAGTTTTAAGATGGAAAAAAGTTGTATTGTTCTACTTCAAGAAAAATATGAAGCACTGAATACCTTCTGGGTGCACTTTATGAAGAAAGAGGGCAAAAAAAAAAAAAAAACACTTCTAGAACAATTTACTTTTTAAAAAATGTATTTATTTTATAAATGATTCTGTTACAACATACAATACAGTGAAAAATATCAGTTAACCACATAAGGCCATCAGTACAGAAATAAATGAATAACCATCCTATTGGCACATCAGCATGTTTGTCAGTCCTTGTTTGCTGGTTTGTTCTATGATCTGTTGTCTGTCTCTGATTGGCTGTCTTCTGCTGGTGAACACACACTCTGCTGTGTTTCCTCCTCTGAGCTCCTCTTGATAGTCAGCTCTCTCTCAGCTGGCTCCACACAAGGAACTTTGGCTGCCTGGATGTGGAGCTTTCCATCTGGAGAAAGGTAGCAGTTGACGTTCTCAGGATTCACCCCTTCAGGCAGATCAAACTCCTGTCTGAACTCCTGCAGTCTGTAAGAGTAGGAGCCTTTCCCATTTTCTTCTTTCTTCTCTGTCTTCCCACTGACTCTCAGCTTCCTGCCCACCTGCCTGACTGACAGCTCTTCTGGAGAAAAGCCTTGAGTATCCAGGGTGAGGCCAAAGTGCTCTCCCTCTTTGTCCAGCTGGTAGGAGACTGGCTGCAGAGCCACGCTGCTCCTGAAAGGCTCTGTGTCCTCCAGGATCTGGTGTTGAAGTGTGTCCATCAGCTGCAGACTGCTGCGCAGATCCTGGAGGTTTGGTTGCAGGAGATGCTGCTGGTAGAGCAGAGGTCTGACCTCTGGCCACAGACTGCGTACAGGCCAGGAGAAGTCCATGAAAGGACTGAGGGCAGATGGGAATCCATGAGAGCACAGCATTTTTCTCCTGTTTGCTTTGAGGCTTCTTGTCTTGAGATGAACTTCCTTTCAGGTTTCTCTTCTCTCCTGTGTTGCTTGTGTTTCTTTCTGTCAGTCAGTGGGACTGTCTCAGCTTTATATTCTAGCAGGCGGCGCTCCAGAGGCTTCAGGAAGTTTCTGGTAATTGCCACAGAAGTCCACTGGGTGGAGCTCCTTCACACATTTCATCAGGTCTTCCCAACTTTGCTTCTTCAACAATCACTTCCTTAATCATGTATTTTAGTAATTGTTGGTCAGTTTTAACATTATCTTGTTTCAAAGATGAAATATTTAAATTGATCAGAAAATATATTTAGATGTTTCTTTATGCAGACACAAAAAAGTTTAAGAAGTTTTTGAATAAAACATTTTTATGCACCAGATTTCACGTCTTTTAACTGAATATTTCTGTTTGCTTAAATTTTGAAGATTTTGATTGAAGGATTAATATGAATATGTACATTTTCAAAATTTCATTCATGAAACTATCAGTTAAAATATTTTATCATTTTATTCATTTTGATCAACTGAAATTACTTAAATATTTTTTTATTTATTTTAGAGAAGCTTTTGGAAAGATTGTGCAGATCTTTAATTAACCAGCTTTTCTGAATCTCTATACCAGATATATTCTATGGAATTATTCTTTATGAAGAGAAAACATGTTCCTTGGTTATTGCCATTGTTATACAGCAGGAAATAAAACATTACTTTTTTGGGTAGTATTATTCCTATTCTGTTAAAATTGTTTACTCAATTATTTTCTTTTTTGCAATTTATGTATCCTATCTCTGTATAAAGTAATACATTTTCTGAGCTTTTTTCTGATGCCTAGTGCTCTGGTTTACACTGAATTCAAACAATATTCACAACCCTTTTCTTCATGTTTGTTTTTGATACAGCGGCAAACAAAATTTGATAATTGGTTTTACCATCCCTATTTTCCAATAACAGGACAATATTTTAGCAAATAATGTAACAGATACACATGAAATATACAAACAAAGAAGCGAGGTGTACCTAATCATATGAAGCATTTTCTGAGTAGTTGATGCACCTTTGGCAGAAATTACAGTTTGAAGTTTTATTGAATGTGATGCTATAAGTTTGGGACACCTGATTTTTGGAAGTTTACTGTCATGAATAGATGCAGGTAATCTTATAAAAAATCAGTGTGGATGGGGAACATGGATGCACAGCCATTTTTAGATCTCTTATGAAATTTAAGATGGCCATCCAACTCTATGAGGGATCCGGGTCATTCCAAATTTCCTCCATATGTAAATGATGAAGGCCATTATAACCTTCTAGACCTTCGGAGGAGAAGGTTCCTTTCTCTACCTTTCCCTGGACTTTAATTTTGAGAAAGTTCTATGTTGGAGGACTGCAGCTAAATCTTTAGCCTCCATTCTTGGTTTGCACTCATACATCAAATGTGTACGACTTTCCTAGTTTTTTCCAGTCCCCTGAATCTACCACAATGGACTCCAGTGAAGGTGTAGAAACATCTCCAGATTGGTCAATGCAAACTGGATGCACAAAAACTCCATCTTGAGTTTCATACCAAAGTTTCTCAAGTCTTTTGAATGTCTGATTTTTGTTTTTTATTTATTTACTCTGAATTTCTTTAAAAAGTATTTTTTAAATAATATCTTTATATGGGGTGTTATGTGTAGAGTTTTGAGATTGAAAAGAGAATATTATCCATTTTGCAATAAGGCTGTATTGTACAGTAATGTAGAACACCAAGCATTGGTTTTCACTGTATAAAAAAAGGGACACATAAAAAAAAACACTTCTACAATTTGCTTTTTACATTTTATTTATTTTACATATGTTGCTCTTAAAAACAAAGTACAAAACATCAATTTATCCACTTAAGGCCATTAGTAAAGAAATAAATGAATAATCATCCTATTGGCACATCAGCATGTTTGTCAGTCCTTGTTTGCTGGTTTGTTCTATGATCTGTTGTCTGTCTCTGATTGGCTGTCTTCTGCTGGTGAACACACACTCTGCTGTGTTTCCTCCTCTGAGCTCCTCTTGATAGTCAGCTCTCTCTCAGCTGGCTCCACACAAGGAACTTTGGCTGCCTGGATGTGGAGCTTTCCATCTGGAGAAAGGTAGCAGTTGACGTTCTCAGGATTCACCCCTTCAGGCAGATCAAACTCCTGTCTGAACTCCTGCAGTCTGTAAGAGTAGGAGCCTTTCCCATTTTCTTCTTTCTTCTCTGTCTTCCCACTGACTCTCAGCTTCCTGCCCACCTGCCTGACTGACAGCTCTTCTGGAGAAAAGCCTTGAGTATCCAGGGTGAGGCCAAAGTGCTCTCCCTCTTTGTCCAGCTGGTAGGAGACTGGCTGCAGAGCCACGCTCCTCCTGAAAGGCTCTGTGTCCTCCAGGATCTGGTGTTGAAATTTGTCCATCAGCTGCAGACTGCTGCGCAGATCCTGGAGGGTTTTCTGCAACAGATACTCAGTTCTGAACAGAGGTCTGACCTCTGGCCACAGGCTGCGTACAGGCCAGGGAAAGTTGGTGAATCGCCTCACTGCATAGGGAAATCCACGAGAACACAGCATGCTTCTTCTCAGCAGTAGTAAATCTGTTTGCTGGATAGATGAAACTTCAGGTTTCTCTTCTCTCCTGTGTTGCTTGTGTTTCTTCCTGTCAGTCAGTGGGACTGTCTCAGCTTTATATTCTAGCAGGCGGCGCTCCAGAGGCTTCAGGAAGTTTCTGGTAATTACCACAGAAGTCCACTGGGTGGAGCTCTTTCACACATTTTATCAGGTCTTCCCAATTTGGCTTTTTCCACAATCACTTCTTTAGTCAGGTATTGTAGTAACTGTTCCTCAGTTTTAACAACATTTTATTCATCATAATTAACTGAACATGTTAGAAATAGTTTACATTTATTTTAGGGAAGATTTTGGAAAGATTTAGCAGATCTTTCATCAACCATTTTTTAAATGCCTATACTAGAGTAATCCTATCTATTTCTATTGAATAAAAAAAAAAAAATCTTCCTTTGTTATTTGCATTGTTATACAGCAGGAAATCAATCATCACCATTTGGGTTGTATTGTTCATATTGCATTAAAATTGTTATATAAATTCTTCTTTATTTATTTATTTTATTGTTATTTATGTCTTCCTTGTCAGAATGTAGGAATATATATCCGAGCTTTTTTCTGAGACCTTGGTCTCTGGTTTACACGGAATTCAGAAAATATTGAAAGCAATTTTCTTCATGTTTGTTTTTGATACAACCCCAACCAAAATTTCATAATTTTTATCCCTATTTTCCAAACACATGACAATGACAATGCCCCTATTTTTCTAAAGAATATGAGAAATACATATGAAATATGCAAAGAAGCAAGGTGTAACTGAGAATATTAAGCCTTTTCTGAAGTTGATGCACCTTTTGCAGAAATTACAACCTAAAGTTTTATTGAATATGATGCTATAAGTTTGGAACACCTGATTTTTGGAAGTTTACACTCATGAATAGATGCAGGTAATCTTATAAAAAATCAGTGTGGATGGGGAACATGGGTGCACAGCCATTTTTAGATCTCTTATGAAATTCAAGATGGCCATCCAGCTCTATGAGGGATCCTGGTCATTCCAAGTTTCCTCCATATAATGATGATGGAGGCCATTATGACAATTTAGACCTTCGAAGAGGAAGGTTCCTTTCTGTACCCTTCCTTGGACTTTTATTTTTAGAAAGTTCTATGTCAGAGGACTGCAGCTAAATCCTTAGCCTCTATGTGTGACTTTCCAATTTTTTTCCAGTCCTGTGAATCTACCACAATGGACTCCAGTGAAGTTGCAGAAACGTTTCTAGGATGCTCACTGAAAACCAGATGCACAAGAACTCAATTTTGTGCTTCATAAAATTGTCTGTAAAGACTTACAAATATCTGATTTACTCTAAATCTCCTTAAAAAATATATTTAAAATGATATTTTTTATGGGTTGTTATGCATAGAGTTTTGAGATGAAAAAGAGAATATTTTACATTTTGTAATAAGGCTACATTCTGGCTCCACAGTATGAACAAAAAAAAAAAAAAAAAAGCCTTTTTACGTTTTATTTACTTTGCATATCTTGCTCTTGAAAAATACAGTAAAGTGAAAATTTTAAATTTATCCACATAAGGCCATTAGTAAAAAAAAAACAAATAAAAAAAAAAATCATTCTATTGGCACATCAGCATTTTTTAATGATATCTTTATGGGGTGTTATGTGCAGAGTTTTGAGATTGAAAACAGAATATTATCCATTTTGCAATAAGGCTGCATGGTACAGTAATGTAGAACACCTGAAGCACTGGTCTTCACTGTATAAACAAAGGGGACAAATAAAAAAAACACTTCAAGAACAATCTCTTTAAAAAAAATACAGAAAAGTGAAAAACATCAATTTATCCACATAAGGCCATCAGTAAAGAAATAAATGAATAACCATCCTATTGGCACATCAGCATGTTTGTCAGTCCTTGTTTGCAGGTTTGTTCTATGATCTGTTGTCTGTCTCTGATTGGCTGTCTTCTGCTGGTGAACACACACTCTGCTGTGTTTCCTCCTCTGAGCTCCTCTTGATAGTCAGCTCTCTCTCAGCTGGCTCCGATCTGGAAAAAAAAAGGAATAAAAACACTATATAGGTGTCATGGTCCACAGGTAGTGAACATCACTAACTTATACAAAGAATTGTTATATTGCACACATTATACAATACCCTGCTGCATTCTTGAAACGGTGATGCTTGTGGTTTCCATCCACTGAAAGTGCAAGCATATCTGGGGTACCAGCTTGACATTTGAAGGGATCCTTCTTTAACATCTTATCTAACTCATGTCTTACAGCTTCCCACTCGAAAAAACTTTTCAGGAAGCTGTCAGCCGAGATCTTTCCTGTCTGATTTAAGATGAGAGACAAATTTAAAAAAAGAAAAATTACACAAGGACATAGGTGACCAAATCCAAGGCATAAAGGATAGGTGTTCTTCAAGTTCTAGGTGTGTCCTTTGCTAAAAACATCTCATTCAATCAATTTTGATGTTACCAGTACTTCCGATGATCTGAATGCTGAATGAATGACGTGATATTGATTCAAGTGTATGTAACCAGTGACATCAAAATGTTGAAGAACATAACCACTCAAAAATGGAGTCAGACAGCCCATCTGGGATATGTACGTTAAAGTACTCACACGGCCAAAGCGGATGGTTCGTTGGTCCAACATTTTTAGAAATGCTTGACAGGAGAGACCTGGTGCTGCAATCTTCTTTTCTTCAAATGTAAAAAGCACATCAGTTGCATATAGAGTGGAAAAGTGAAGGGTAGCTGGCCAGTACTCAGTTAAATTTAGGTCATGTACTCCACATGTCCAACTAGCCTCACATCCCTCACAACCCAGCTCTGGCATGCTGAGATCATAACGACCTAAAACACCAAAAAAGTGTAAAAGTTGTAATACTTGGTTATTGTAATGTCAGGTTGAAATTGTGTCACAAACAATTTCTTATGGTCTGCAAAAAACTTACTAAATAATTACATTTAGCTAACATTGGTTTTTAATTATATTTTGGTTTTGATTCATGAAAAAAAGAAAGTTATTCATACCATTGATTGTGACCACAGTGACTGCCTTTCCTGGTTTGGTCCTCAAACACTCTGATGGACAATCACAAATTCTAACTGGGATCTCCACAGGTACGAATCGTGCTAAAGAGATTGACATGTTTAAAATATAAATTCACATAAACTGCATATAAGATATGCAGAACCAGATAAACAAAAAAAAAAACAGAACATTCAAAATACAGTCAAAAGTTAAAAGTAAGAAAAACTCTGAAGAGTGTTTAAACAGTACAAATAAAAAGCTTACCATCATTGCAAAGAGTTGTATTTAAAACATAGGTAGTTGGAGGTAATGGCTGGAAAAACCCAGCTATGATGGTTTCTCTGTTGTGGAAGACATGTCTGGTGTGCATCATCACATCACATTTTTCACAAAAGAAGGGGTGTGGTAGGCAATCACGACACCGAAGTGCAGATGGATTTTTTCCACATTGTTGGCAAAAAGGGGCTGACACACTGTGCTGAGCTGCTAAGGTGTTAACCAGGCGGGGTCTTTCTGCTTTCCAACTCTCTGAAAATATGCTTTTTCTTGTGCTCCAGTTAGTGGACGCCAGAGGAACGTTTGGCACTAGTGGTTGACCTGCAGCATCATTCAGCGAACTCTGGAATTCTTGTAGAAAAGACTCTTTTAAAAAATAAAAACATTTTTTTAGATGTTACAAAAGTATAGCACATACTTTTGTATGTGCTATACTTTTATTATATAGAAAAAATAAAATAAGATGTACTAGTGACATACCAACAGTCTCTGGAGCAAAGGCAGCCTCACACTGAATGTTAGAGGGATGAGAGGGACATCTGGTCTTCTCACTGTGGGACGCTATAATAATGAATTAAACAAATGTAAAAGTAAGGAGTATATCTAACATCTTACTTAAATCCACATTTGGATGTCCAATTCCAATTTAATAACCGTCTCAAATTCCCATATCTCAAGATTCAAATTTGTAGTAGAAACTATTAACTAAAAATTAAGAAAGTAATTCAGATTGTCAGACAAATGGAGGAAAATCACATTTGTTTGTAACCTTTTCTAATAAGGTATGGTTAATGGATAGTGAACCATTTAAATTATGTTGCCTAAATTATCCAAATTTGTAGGCTATTTTTTGTAAATTATTTAAAGGATGTTGCAGACTGTTTAATAATATTTCTCTATTTTGATGAGCACTGGTGGTTTGTATTTTGTTTTGTTTGTTCAATGAACATTCAATGACTTGAATGAACTGTCAAAAGTGCTTGGCACTATCAACACTTAGTCGTCCCCGGTGAAAGCAGAAATTTTTCACGGTGACTAAAGTAATCAAGGTGACTATGGTCTTTAAAATGATTGAGTTGACCGATGATCAACATCAAAGAAAATTTAAAAAAAACCTTGAAAATTAATACAAGTGCTGGAGGGCTGCTATGACTAAATACATGTACATCAACTGCTGGAAAAGCATTCACTCTGTTGCAACCACATTGTACTGTGTGTCAAAACAGTAAAACTTCTATTTTTTGTTATATAACTAACCTGTTCTTTGTTATTGAGTAATTTCTAGTCAACATACTCTTACCGTATAATTAAAAACAATTTTGTGTTGGGGAAAGATATCAGCCTTTAATAGATAAATGTTTTTACATCCACTTCTCTGGATGTAAAAGCAAACAGAATTAATTACTTGTTAGAAGAAATATATTTTGCCAAAATATCAATTAATATATGGATTAATTTACTAATATGTGTAAAAAAAAATAGTCTACATCTGTCAGTGATCATGTTTTGAAAGAAGTACTTACTCTTAGGTAATTGATTTCTTGTTGATCTTGCCCTTTTATAAAGTTTGTTACCATCTTTATCCCTTTTTCTCCACCTTACTGTTGGTTCAGGTATCTTCATAGGTACTTGATGATTTTTCTTCAGCTCAACAAGCAAGTCATCAAGTTGTTGAAGCTCTAGATTTATTTTTTGCTTTTGTATCTCAGTTTCTAGGTCCATTAATGGATCAGAGATGTTTGAGACGCTCATGGTGAAGGACAGACAGACAGAACTGTTGACAAGTTAAGAATAGACAAATTAAGGACACAAAGATGATAAACAGATAAAACAGATGTGGCTCTTAAAAGTGCCTTTTGTGGGTGCTATATAAAAGAGCAGAAAGATACAGTACGTGAGGTGATGAGATCAAAGAAGAACCTGTTGACATAAAAAAAATAAGAAATGTTCAGATTTCGGAAATTCTTGATTTCTCTTTATAAGTTGCAACAGCAAAAACCAAAACAGACAGGTGTAGAGATCTTTCCCTGTAATGATCCAAGTTCGTTTTAATTGGAAGTAAATGGCCTAGCTGCAAACAGACATGGGCTCATAGACAAACTTTTAAGGAGCATTACAGCCTAGGGTCACTGGCGTTTATATCGATCCTCAAATTTTACAACAAGCATGACTATAAAGAATTCTGTGACTCTAGCATGGCCAATTAAATGTATTAAGTGCAGGTTCAGTTGAAGCTTATGGACTCCAAGAGCCTAACGTAGCTAGCTTCCCGCCCAGTTCTTCCGGTAAATTTCTTTTATAAATGTTACAAACGTGTCTAAATGTCTTCAACCATTCGCGGCACAGTCCGACTGCCATTAAGTCCTGAAACTGCAATCATCAACTAACCCGATAACACTCTAGTTATTTTTTTGTTTTATAGTACAGAAACATTTTGGACAGATTCAGGTTTGTACTCACAGGGGTGCAAGCGTCACATGCGATGATGTCAGCGTCTTCTTCTTCGTAGGTTTTTGCGGTATACGTACTTATTTTTATTATTTCAATGAAAAATATTAAACGTTCACAGAACTGTTTGCATGAAATCACAAAAGAAAATCATTTTTATTTCTACTTAAATTAAGTTGGTAAATTTAAAATAAAGGATTTTAAATCGAGCTAAAAAAAAAAAAGGCTTTTAAATCAACTTAACAACAACCACAACAAAAACCCTCCGGTTTTATATTTTACTGAGTTATTTTTAAATACCCAATTAAAGTTTTATGAACGTTTATGTAGTAAATATTATTAATATCCTGTTCAAACTAGCAAATACGTTGTAAATAAAGTTTTTTTTTTTAAATAGATACGTCATCTTATTCGTTCCTAAGTCGTAAATATCGGACGCTTAGGGGACGATACAACATTCAATGAGAGAACCCTTCAAGTCACATATTGACGCCGAGGGTACCTGAAAAAACGTCAATATGTGACGAGTTGGGAGTGAGAATGTGTTGAATTTATCACCCATTGGGTAGTTTTCTATATTAATTGAAATAAATGCATTTTTTTATATTATTTAATTTATTTAGTCTCCGTCTTTATGTTGGAATAACATTTTTCTGAGCTGGTTCTGTCCTATGCCTTGTGTTCTGGTTTAGACTTCATCCAAAAAATATTAAAATCACTTCATACTTCCGTTTTGTTTTTATTAAAATCCTCCATCAATTTATCTTTTCCCCAATATTCCAAAAAGAAAAACATGACAATGCACAAGTTTAAAAAAAAAAAAAAATATATAAATAGATAGGAAATATACAAGGAAGCTAAGTGTACCTATGACGCCTTTTCTGAGTAGATGCACCGTTGGCAGAGATTACAGCCTAAAGTTTTATTGAATGTGATAATATAAGTTAGGGACACCTACTTTTTGGAAATTTACATTCATGAATAGATGCAGATAATCGTATAAACCATCAGTGTGGATGGGGAACATGGATGCGCAGCCATTTTTAGATCTCTTATGAAATTCAAGATGTCAATCCAGCTCTATGAGGGATCCTGGTCATTCCAAGATTCCTATAATGATTATGGAGGACATTATGACCATCTAGACCTTCGAAGGAGAAGGTTCCTTTCTCTACCCTTCCCAGGACTTTCATTTTGAGAAAGTTCTATGTTGGAGGACTGCAGCTAAACCTTTAGCCTCCATTCTTGGTTTGCACTCATACATGCAATGTGTACGACTTTCCTATTTTTTTCCAGTCCCCTGAATCTACCACAATGAACTCCAGTGAAGGTGTAGAAACATCTCCAGATTGCTCAATGAAAACTGGATGCACAAAAACTCCATTTTGAGTTTCATACCAAAGTTTCTCAAGTCTTTTGAATGTCTGATTTAGTTTTTTTTTATTTACTCTGCATTTCTTTATAAAGTATTTTTAAATAATATCTTTATATGGGGTGTTATGTGTAGAGTTTTGAGATTGAAAACAGAATATTATCCATTTTGCAATAAGGCTGCAAGGCTGCATGGTACAGTAATGTAGAACACCTGAAGCTCTGGTCTTCACCGTATAAACAAAGGGACACAATGAAAACACTTCTAGAACAAACTGCGTTTTACATTTTATTTATTTTACATATATTGCTCTTAAAAAATACAATAAAGTGCAAAATATCAATTTATCCACATAAGGCCATCAGTAAAGAAATAAATGGATAACCATCCTATTGGCACATAAACATGTTTGTCAGTCCTTGTTTGCAGGTTTGTTCTATGATCTGTTGTCTGTCTCTGATTGGCTGTCTTCTGCTGGTGAACACACATTCTGCTGTGTTTCCTCCTCTGAGCTCCTCTTGATAGTCAGCTCTCTCTCAGCTGGCTCCACACAAGGAACTTTGGCTGCCTGGATGTGGAGCTTTCCATCTGGAGAAAGGTAGCAGTTGACGTTCTCAGGATTCACCCCTTCAGGCAGATCAAACTCCTGTCTGAACTCCTGCAGTCTGTAAGAGTAGGAGCCTTTCCCATTTTCTTCTTTCTTCTCTGTCTTCCCACTGACTCTCAGCTTCCTGCCCACCTGCCTGACTGACAGCTCTTCTGGAGAAAAGCCTTGAGTATCCAGGGTGAGGCCAAAGTGCTCTCCCTCTTTGTCCAGCTGGTAGGAGACTGGCTGCAGAGCCACGCTGCTCCTGAAAGGCTCTGTGTCCTCCAGGATCTGGTGTTGAAGTTTGTCCATCAGCTGCAGACTGCTGCGCAGATCCTGGAGGTTTGGTTGCAGGAGATGCTGCTGGTAGAGCAGAGGTCTGACCTCTGGCCACAGACTGCGTACAGGCCAGGAGAAGTCCATGAAAGGACTGAGGGCAGATGGGAATCCATGAGAGCACAGCATTTTTCTCCTGTTTGCTTTGAGGCTGTCTTGGGATGAACTTCTTGTCAGGTTTCTCTTCTCTCCTGTGTTGCTTGTGTTTCTTTCTGTCAGTCAGTGGGACTGTCTCAGCTTTATATTCTAGCAGGCGGCGCTCCAGAGGCTTCAGGAAGTTTCTGGTAATTACCACAGAAGTCCACTGGGTGGAGCTCTTTCACACATTTTATCAGGTCTTCCCAATTTTGCTTCTTCAACAATCACTTCCTTAATCATGTATTTTAGTAATTGTTGGTCAGTTTTAACATAATTTTGTTTCAAAGATGAAATATTTAAACTAATCTGAAAATATATTTTTATGTTTCTTTACGGCACACAAAAAGGTTTAAGAGGTTTTTGAATAAATCATTTTTATGCACCAGATTTCACAACTTTTAACTGAACATTTCTGTTTGCTTAAATCTTGAAGATTTTAATTGAAGGATTAATATGAATTTGTACATTTTAAAAACCTAATTCATGAAACTATCAGTTGAAAATGTTTATCATTTCATTCATTTTGATCAACTGAAATTACTTAAATAATTTTTAATTTATTTTAGAGAAGCTTTTGGAAAGATTGTGCAGATCTTTAATTAACCAGCTTTTCTGAATCTCTATACCAGATATATTCTATGGAATCATTCTTTATGAAGAGAAAACATGTTCCTTGGTTATTGGCATTGTTATACAGCAGGAAATAAAACATTACCATTTTGGGTAGCATTATTCTTATTCTGTTAAAATTGTTTAACCAATTATTTGCTTTTTTGCAATTTATGTATCCTATCTCTTTATATAGAAATGCATTTTCTAAGCTTTTTTTCTGATGCCTGGTGCTCTGGTTTACACTGAATTCAAACAATATTCACAACACATTTCTTCATCTTTGTTTTTGATACAGCGGCAAACTAAATTTTGATAATTGATTTTACCATCCCTATTTTCCAATAACAGGAAAATATTTTAGCAAATAATGTAACAGATACACATGAAATATACAAACAAAGCAGCAGAGATGGCAAAAGTACTCACTTTCCGTACTTGAGTAAAAGTACAGATACTTGTGTTAAAAAATACTCTGGTAAAAGTGGAAGTACTGATTAAACTTCTTTACTCAAGTAAAAGTAACAAAGTACAGGCTTGTAAATTTACTTAAAGTATAAAAGTAAAAGTAGAAACCACTTTTTTCATGCCGTTGCCTTCATTTTAAATGGATGTCTGCCAATAGGACTAGATCTCCGTTGTGTTCATTTTCAATCATCTCGTCGTCCATGCTACTATGCTGACGCCACCGCCACCAAGCTGCAATGATTTGCCGCCAATGAATACCGCCGAATCTGTCGATTCATCTTGTAGTGGTGCGTCAAATACAACGTAGATTCCCATCCAATTAGATTGAATTTGGTATTGATGACGTGAAAAATAATAACGGTAACTCCATTGAAATGATTCAAAACTAAAGTAACAAGACAATTTTTTTAAAATGTAAGGAGTAGAAAGTACAGATATTTGTGTAAAAATGTAAGGAGTAGAAGTAAAAAGTCGCCATAAAAATAAGTAGTAAAGTAAAGTAAAAATATCAGAAAAATCTACTTGAGTACAGTAACAAAGTATTTGTACTTCGTTACTTCCCATCTCTGCAAAGGAGCGAGGTGTAACTAATCATATGAAGCCTTTTCTGAGTAGTTGATGCACCTTTGGCAGAAATTACAGTTTGAAGTTTTATTGAATGTGATGTTATAAGTTTGGGACACCTGATTTTTCTAAGTTTGCACTGATGAATAGATGCAGGTTATCTTATATAAAAACAGTGTGGATGGGGAACATTGGTGCACAGCAATTTTTAGATCTCTTATGAAATTCAAGATGGCCATCCAGCTCTATGAGGGATCCTGGTCATTCCAAGATTCCTCCATATAATGATTATGGAGGACATTATGACCATCTAGACCTTCGAAGAGGAAGGTTCCTTTCTGTAACCTTCCCTGGACTTTTTA